AACTAGTCGCCCTGTTCATCGGAAGCCAGGGGGACAATGTCAGCACCGCATCGGCGCCGTCGAGGATCAGACGAATGCTTCCCTCTCGACCCGTCCCCGTACACGACCGTCCTCCTCTCCCTGCGGCAGTCCTGGAAGTCGCCTGGCAGCCTGAGCTCAAGCTCGGCCAGGGTCGCTTCGTCGAAGCGTGGGGTGGTCATCGCCACTGACGGCACGCCACAGAGGCAGAAGGTCGGCTCGCTCTCATGCTGGGCCCTCGCTGCAGCTACAAGGGGCTCAGGCTTGGAATCATCACCATCATCCTTTTTTGCTCACACCTCCAACTTCTATGAAACATAGTCTCTGGATACTTGCCGCACCTTGGGCACATGGTAGACTCCATGATGTAACCACGCGTCTGGCGCCTCGCTCTGGTCCACTGCCCGCCAGCAACGAGAGTGAGGGTCAGCCCATGCTCGTCATACTAGCTCCTGTCATGGCTGCGCTTGAGCTCTCTGACGGCTGGTAGAAGTCTCCGCCACTTTCGAGGCCCTCTCCAGTGTCGTGCTTGCTCGCTTCCTTCCATAACGACATACGAATATCCGCCGAGAGGCCATCGAGCAGCTCCGTAGTCGACCTGAAGTGCAGGAAGGCGTCCTCTTCTGACGACGGGATGTGCCACTCGTCCACATCTCTCGGGGTCGGGCGGGCCACGTGGCCGCCGTCTTGGTGTCCTGTCCTGGCCGACGTCCATCAGGGTCGCGATGGTGGCCGCGATCGGCCCTTTGACCAAAGCCCAGCGCCTCCTGCCCGCCTGAACCAGTCGAGTACGCATCGTCGGCCACGCCAGCTTGACACGTCTACGTATGGATGGCTGCGCCTGCCAGAGGCCAAGCCACTCGAGGATATGCTGCCTGCGGAGCTCGACCGCGGGGTCCTTAAGCCTGAAGGAGGCAGCCGGCGTACTCGTCAGACAGCGCCCGCCCTGGCCACCCGTGACCGCAGCAGCTGCCCGGCGACGTAGGGCCAGGAGGGCCGACGGCGGCGAGCCGTGGACCTGGTGCCCACACGTCGCTTGGGGGCTCGCCCCCGCAGCCCACGCCCCACGGGCTTCTCGGCCGAGGGCCGCCGAGCGCCGGAGCCTCTGGATCTTGCCAGCCCGTCGTCGTGCTCCTGCCAATCAGGGCCTTGGCAGAGCCACGGCGTCTCGCAGCAGCACAATCCACGTGCGGGTCAACCCCCGACTTCGCCTCCCTGACTGGCACTCCACGGGCGCGGAGTCTGCCGGCAGCGATGCGGGCCAGCTGCGGGGTCGAGCCGACGAGCACAGACGTCCAGGAGACCACCGACCGACTCTGCCTCTGTCCTTGTTCGAGCGTCGTGCCGATGATGTCCATGATGGCGAGCGCCGACTTGGCCGTCCCCTCGCACCTCCCGTTGGTGTCGGTGAACGTCCACAGGCCTGCCGAAGGGGCTGCCTGATGCACGCGCTCCAATATCGGGTAGAGCGCGAGCTTGGAAAACGGTGCCCCATGCGAGGAACCAGCCACGATACTGCGGGCAGGGAAGATGGCCTCGCTGATCCACCCTCGCTCACGTAGGTACCGAGGGCGAAGGTAGACCTTCACCTCCAGGCCCATGGCGGTGGGGCTGAAGCCGAAGTCCAGCCCGATCCGAAGGAGGCCCACCAGCGAGACATTGTCGTAACACTTCTCAATGTCGAGGAGGAGGACGAGGAAGCTCAGGTCCTGCTCCTGCGCCGCGTCATCCGGGGTCGCTCGGAGCAGCGCAGCTCGGATCGCAGACGATCCTCGGATCGCCAGGTCCCAGAGCGCCGCGCGCTTGGAGCACCACTGGCTGGTGAACGTCTGGCGGGCCCTTGACCAGAGCTTGACGACCAGCGGCGCCATGCCCAGCACGTGGTCTCCTTCTCCAGACGGCTTCGGCGCCAAGGCCGAGAGCGTGGCCGTGAGTTGGAGTGGCCAGGCCTGCACCTTCTTGCAGTGCTGAAGGATCTGGGCGAGGGCGCCAAGCCGTCCTCAGGGACGCGCGCAAGGCCCCCCGAGCCCAAGCCGGCGACGCCTCTTGCCTTCTTGTGGCCCGTGATCCTGATGGCCGCCTCGAGCTGCTCAATATCTGAATAGGAGGGATGTCCTCCTCACTAGCATGTCTGCGGATGACCGCCAAGCTCTTGATGATGGAATTCGGGGTATCCACTGTGTCAGTCCAAATCTTCGTTCACTTGGCCAGCAGGGTCCGCAACTGCATCTGTGGTGACCGTCGTGGTGCTGGCTTCGGCGGTGCCCTCCTCAGGTCTGGGCGCCACGGGGTTCTCGACATGCCTGTGAAGGGCACCTGGGTTCTTGCGCCACGCGCGTCGAGCCCACTCTGCGTAGACCCGTCGCGACCTGCCGATGCCGCGGGCCATCTCGCACGCCGCCACCGCCTCGACGTCGATGATCACCTGGGTGAGGCCTTCCACCAGCTGGTCACTCGAGAGGGTGTCCATGCTCGCGTGCATCTCCTGGAGGTGATCCAGCGTTCAGCGCCGCTCTTCCCCAGGACGCGGATCAAGGTAATGCTGCCTGGGATGCTGGACTCGTTTAGCAGCATCGTCTAGAGTTCGCTGAAGCTGAGGCTCGTCCATGTCATGTAGAACTATTGCAAGCGCCCGCCTGCACAACGTGCCCACAATAGCCCAATGCTCAACTCCTTCAAACTTCCAGTGACCACGATTTGGCGAGGAAGCCGACTTGCGCCACTGGACAACCAAACCCCGCACACGACCGCAGATGGGGGCGCGGCCCTCCTCTGACATCTGCTGGTCGAGGAGGGCCGGCTCAACCTGGCCGACCTACCTGCCGTAGTCCTGGGGCAAGGCCGCACGGCCCGACAGAGACCAGTTGACGATGGCCGAGCCCTCGATCATGCTCAGCTCTTTCGTGAAAGCGCAGATTTTGTCTCGCGGAGGCTGATGCAGCTGCTGGCGCACTGCGGAGACCTGGAACTCATCCTTGGGGGCGTCCACTAGAGCGGCCCGCGTGAGTGGCCCGCGTGGACCGCCGCGCGCGCCGCCAGCTTCCAGCCGTCCGCGTCGAGGCTGGCACGGTACTGGAGGATGCGCTTCTGGGGCACATGGGTCTCGACGAACGCCATGATGCCGTAATCCTTCTTGTCCTCAACAAACTTGCGAGTATTCGGCCCCCACTCGGTGATACTCGCGGCAAACAGGGTGGCCTGAGTGGACTCTCCTCTCGACGTCCTCTTAGTCAACGTCGCCTGAGGAGAGGTTGCAAGCTCCTCCGACGCTGAGCCGCGCGCCGCTGCGGCTGGGCAAGGGGGCGGGTGACCGCCTCCACGCCGTCGTCGCAGCAGCCAAGCAAGGTCGTCGAAGGGGTCGTGCTCGCCGTCCATCGTGATGTTACCCCCTCGGCTTGACTGGAGCCGCGGCCTTGTCAGAGCTGGCAGCCTTGGCAGGAGGGGGCCCAGGAGCGCCGGCGCCGGGCAGAGGAGCCCGTCGCATGCGAAATGCCCGACCCACCCTACCCACACTTCTGGGGACGCGGAGGAATTACCCATAAAGAAAAGGGATGGATGAGGAGGAGGAGGAGGAGGAGGAGGAGGAGGAGGAGGAGGAGGAGGAGGAGGGGTAGGAGGAGGATGACCAGTGTAAACCCAAGGCTCATCAACGATGTTGCTGCAAACTCTCCCTCCGAGTTTCTTTTTCATCGGTCCCTACAAGAGTTCTTTTTAACTGAGGGGCGTGCTCCGTTGGACGACAACCATCAGACAATCTTGAGCTGTGCCAGGGCACCTTTTCTGGGACTTCAGCGCCGCGAGCCAACATTACTGTTGCGTCCTGACGATCCTGAGTCGTGCCAGAACGCCGTTCCTCGGACCTCGACACCGCGAATCAACGCGACTGTGGCGCCCTGACAGGCCTGCATCGTGCCAAAATTCTGCTTATGGCAAGTAGACCAGTCGATTTCTTGAAACTGCTGTCAACTCTCATGACGAATGTGCGCGGCGCGAAGGCGAGAGCTTCATTTTGAAAACTGTTTCTCCTCCATCTTTGAAGCTGCGACAGACTTTGAAGATGAATGTGCGCGGCGGTAAGGCGAGAGCCACTCTAAAAAAACCTCCCGCCTTCATCCGTGAAACTCTTGCAAGCTTTAAAGGCGAATGTGCGCGGCGCTGAGGTGATAACCACACTTTGAAAACCACCCGCCCTCCAACCGTGAAGTTGTTGCACACTGTAGCCTTAAGGATCAAACGTGGTGAGGAAGTCTCAGGCAAGCCGCCCGGTCCGCTCTATCGACACGTCTCGGGTGCGACAGGGAGGAGGTATATATATATATGTATATGTATACATCTGTATGTGAAAGGGGTGGAGGAGGAGGACCTCCTCACCTCCTCGCCTCCCCTCTTTCCCCCCTTCCTCCCTCCCCCTCCCCCTGTCTCCATCCACAATTACACATTATGAATACTACTTTCTTCTCTTCCCTGACTATGTCCGGAAGATCTCCGGCCCTCTCCACGTGCTGTTCTGTTACACCTGATTTCAAGCACGGTTTTTTCTTACATTCTTTTTGCAACCCGATTGTTGCCGGTGTATCAAAATGGTGCTCCCGCTGCAGTGTAGGCCTGATTTTCAGATCGACGCTCCCCCGTCGTTCAGAGTGGCGCTCTCGCCCCAGCGCGGGCCCCTTTTCTGGATCCGAGTCCTTTGTCACTGCTGCTGCCCCCCTGATTTCCCTTCCTCCGCCTTCCCCTGGTCCTGCTACTCATTGCAGTTCTTACGCTGCAGTTCCTGGTGCTGCTGCTGCTGTTTGTCCTCGTCCTCCCTCCTCCTCCTCCTCCTCCTTCTGCTCCTCCTCCTCCTCCTCGTCCTCCTTGTCCTCCTGCTCATCTTCCTGCTCACCCGCAACCTCCTCCTCCTCCTCGTCCTCCTCCTATATACGCAATTCCCCTTTTCCGATTGCGCATCACACGACGAGGTCTTAGTGTTGGAGGTCCAGGTCGGCTATGACACGCGTCCGTGGACAGAGGAGAGTCCGCGCAATAGGACGGGATGGGAGGGAGGGAGAGGCTGTCGGATATGGCGCGAGCGCAATCAGCTTGCCCCTCCTCCCCCTCTCCCCTCTCCTCTCCCCTGCTCTCCCTCCCCTCCCTTTCCCCCCCCTCTCCCCCCGTCGCCTGCCGCCGTCCGCCGTCGTCTTTGTCGCCTCTTCCTGTTCTCCCCCTCTCTTGGCTTGCTATCGCCCCGACGGTCTCGCCGTGGGCCCGAGGGCCTTGGGCCCGCGACGCGGCACCCGCGCAGACGGCTGCCTCGGCTCCACACCGCACTCGGGGCTCCCCGCTCGCAGGGCACCCTGGAGACCAGATGGTGTCGAAATGGTTGGACACCGGCAGGGCATTCCATAGTTCTCACCGCAGCTGCACAGGCTAGAGCCAAGGATGGAGTAGCTCTCTGGATCAACACGAAGCACAAGTATGCGCATGGACGCACACTGGCACGTAGACATGTACGTGTGATCAGCTACTCGCTACGACACGTATTAGCAGCAATACGCGCGCTGGACATGTGCATTGACGTGCTGGTTGGACACGCGCCACACTCTCGACGACCGCCTGCTGAGATACAGAACTGGTGGAGCAGTATGGTCACTCATGTCAGCAGTCGTTCTCATTCAGCACCGCTGCACTGCCTTCTGGATGCCAACGCGACCCTAGGGTCACAGGTGTCAGAACACGTGGGAGACGTGGCGCCAGAGGTTGAGAATGAGAGCGGGCAATGTTTCCATCAGTTCATGCGGTCCACGGGACAATGTGCAATGGCTACGTTTTTACCGTCGTTTTCTGGAGTACACGGGGCCTGGTTACCCCCCGGAGCCCAAAGCAGGATCCTAGGTACCGAATCGATTACATTACGGTTCCCCTGGGCCAACTGCCAAATGTGGCGAAACAGGGGGTGGACATCGACCTTGATCTGTCGATGCGATGTGACGACTATTTCATGGTTTCAGCTGACGTGTATGTGTGCCATACAGTACAGTCCGATCCAGCCGCCACCTGGACTAGGCCCCGACATGAAATCACAAAATACGAGGACCCTGACTGTCTGCAGAAGTTTGGGGAAGAGGTGCGCAGGGTGCCTCATCCCCCCTTTTCAACTCTCTCATCGATTACCGCCGCGCGGGCGAGCAGTAACAAAAACGGTGCCGTCTCCTCCGCCGCACTCGTCGCCACGGACGCCGCTGCCGGCGCCGCCGCCGCCGCCGCCCTCGTCGTCACCGCCGCCTCTGTCGTCGCCGCCGCGGCCCGCGCCGCCGCCGCCGCCGCCGCCGCCGCTACCGTCGTTGTCGCCGCCGTCGCCGGCGACGGCTCGCGCGCCTCCCTTGAAAGGCGTCTGGCCTCCGGCGGGGGCGCCCGCGGGCGCGCGGGCGCGGCTGGGAGGGTCAAGGACGGTGAGCGGCCGCGCGGGTCGCCGCCGTCGCCGCCGCCGTCGTCGTCGTCACCGCCGTCGCTGTCGCCGCCGTGGCCGTCGCCGTCGCCGTCGCCGTTGCCGTCGCCGTCGCCGTCGCCGTCGCCGTGTCGTCGCCGTCGCCGTCGCCGTCGCCGTGTCGTCGCCATCGTTGCCGCCGTGGTCGTCGCCGTCGTGGTCGTGGTCGTGGTCGTGGTCGTCGTGGTCGTCGTGGTCGTGGTCGTGGTCGTGGTCGTGGTCGTCGTCGTCGTCGTCGTCGTCGTCGTCGTCGTCGTCGTCGTCTTCGTCCTCGTCGTCGTCGTCGTCCTCGTCGTCGCCGCCGCCGTCGCCGCCGCCGTTGTTCACCGCGCCCCGCTCCTGCAAGGGCGCAGCCTGATGCTGCTGCGTCTCCGCCGCGGCCTCCTCCTGTGCGCACGGGGCCTTCCCGGCGGGGGGAGCCCTTCGGGTGCCGGGCGGTGCGCCGCGCGCTGGCCAGGGGTCTCGGAGCGCGCCAGCCGCCACTCTCCATGCCGCGCGCATAACCCGCCCCCTCGTCCGCTCTTGCGTCCCCTCCCTGCTGCTGTTCTCCTCTTCCTGCCGCTGCTGCTTCTGCTGCTGCTGCTGGTCAACGTCCTCCTCGTCCGCGTCCTCCACCTCCAGCACCTCCCTCCCGTCCTTCTCGCCCGTTTTCCGCCTCCTCGTCCTCGCCCACGTCCTGTTGCTCGCCCCCGCCTGCTGCTTCTCTTCCCTCCTCTCCACCTCCTGCACTCCTCTGCTTCATGAGTAATGATCTCTTCTTTGCATTACTACCAGACGTCGTCTGAGACTTCCTCCTCGCAGTTAATGGCCGTGCGGCTAGACATTCACATCAGTTGTACGGATCGGCCGCGGCCCGTCTTCCAAGTGCGGCTGTCGCTTCAGCACCGCGCGGATTCGCTGTAAAAGTTTGCAGCAATTGCAGGGCTGCATTTGGGGCTGTTTTCAAAATGTGGCTCTCGCCATGGCGCCGCGCGCATTTGTCTTCGAGCTCGCAATAGATACGCGGATCGAGCACCGGC